AATGCGCATCACCATCTCTGGCGAAAGGTAATCCAAAGTTCCACAAACTATCGTATGTTGGGAGCTTAACGAGAAGCGAACAAGTAGTGTTGATTAATGCATGAAATCATCTCATCTATTAACATTATTATTACATATATATTACCCCATTGAATAAGTAGACCATCCAAAATCTGCTAATTTGAGTTCGCCTCTCAGTCCAAACAATAGGTTTTCTGGTTTGATGTCTCGATGGATGACATGATTCTGATGAAGATACTTTAATGCACGAGCGATCTGCGCGATATACTAAAACAAATAATTATAAGGTTAATAATCACATGCAGTCTAAAAGGTTTCGTGATTGTTTATTTGTCTTGAATAAAATGGATAAAAAGTAAAAGCATTTTATATATACTGTATATATTTTTTGGTTGCTAATATGATGGTTGATTAATAAAAATCAATTATAGCCAATTTAATACAGTATATTATTGATAATAATAAAGTATGGAATGAGATTATATTTTAAAAATTATTTAGATTTTATTATATACAAATTATTTAAAGCTAATAAAAAATTTTTTTGAGAATATTAAAAAAAAAAAAAAAAGTATGAATAAATCATTCCATTTTTATTATAAAGACAAAAGTGTATGTAAAACCCAAGTATCATTTACTTATCTCACGTTACATTGATAACATTTTTTACATGCAGTGCAAAATAACAACAATCCAGCTTGGCTATTTGAACATTTTTTTCAGGAAATCACATCTCTGTTCTGATTTTTTATGGTTTTAGTTATTACAGTTATAAATAATTTTTTTTAATTAAATAAAATTCTTTGATTTTTTTTTTTTTTTTTAAATATCTTTAATTACAAATATACAGTATATATACAGTATATATTACAAACATAAAATTTCCGCACGCCCGAACTCAATGAGCTACAAACGCTCCATCAAAATATTTCGATAGTAACCTTGCCTGACTGGTAAGGAGATTGATTGTGTCCGGAGGGCGCGTTCTATGTAATAAGCAAAAGGCGCTACACGGGTGTCGCATAGAAAATAACTTTTTTCGTACCGAAACTTGTAATTTTTCGGCTACACAAAAATGACGAGCTTCTTAATCAAGACATTCATCATTCCCTTTTAAAAAAAAAGAGGAAATCTCATAGGAATAACACCGACAAATAAATTTACATTGGCTATTTGACTTATGTCAATCCTTATATGGCAGTCATTATTCACGTAACACTTTGAAAAACCA